TTAAAAGAATTATTAATTTTAATTTTACCACTTTTATTTAGCTGCTATGTATTAACTTAAATTACATTAAAGTTTAAATGAATTAAAAAATACATACCTTTTTGGACAAATGGTTTTAAATATTTCAGTACTATCATGTCTCGCCTTAAAAATCCTATGAAGCTAATATTCTTATTGCATTGCCATAACATAACTATAATTCCAATAATTAAATAGCTGCAATTCGTATGCACACTCACGTTCTCCGTAACGCCGGCAAAATTCTAAAACGAAAATCATTATCCTCCTTGTTAGAAATCACGTTACCTTCGAATTTTCTTCGCGTACCGGGAAAATAGAAAATATTATTTCTATTCCGATCCTTTTTTTCATTTACCCGTGCAACCTCATCGATCGTGTTTCCGTAAGGTTCGACGCGCGTAGGTGGAACGGGTTTTCGTTGCGAAAGAGGAGGAAAGTCACCCCCAGCTGTGTACAAGATGTTCGAAATTCCGCGCCGCGGCGTCGCGTTCTGAATTTAATTAATTCAGCTGTCGCGCGATTCCCGATGGCACGTGCCGACATAAACCAAGATGAAAATTCAGAATCCCGGGCGTGTGCGCGCGGGCGCGCGCCTGTTCGAGCGGACGAGCGCCGCCGGAATTCGAGAATATCGCGGGTGTCGGGTCGGTTCGCGGAACGAAAAGAAAGCGAAAGAAAACACCCTCGGGTATCCTGCCGCGCACCAGGCGTCGTTTTCTTCGTCTTCTTTTTATTCGCGCCGCGACCCTGGCACAAGTTCAATTCGTTCCGGCCAATTGGACTCGGGACTCTGAAAGAGACACCGTTTTCCGTGCGCCAATCGACCATTTTCTCGGGAGGAATGTATCGGCGTGTGCGAGTTTATAACTAGCTTCCCATATCGAAGTCAGTATTCCTTTTTCGAATTCTCTCTTATTCACCATAAAGGTAAATAATGCCTTTCCGCCCTCCAACATCTCACGATCTACGAGTTTAACCCATTAACTGCGTTTGACGAGTATACGCATCACCTTAAAGCTTGAAATGATACTAATTCTTTCAAAGATACATTTTTTATTTTTTCAGATAAACATGCAATTCTTCTTTGTTTTAATTTGATTTTTCATTAGAATATACCTCCGATGCATTCGCCCTGCGTTTGTCGAGTACACACTTCATTTTTTTTGGTTAATCAGTTCTCTTAATTATCTAGTTAGCTGTTATTTTTAATTAAGTTACAGCTGTTCCGACGAGTATTCTCAATTAGAAGTAATGACAAGGTTTTGTGTTATGACAGTTATTTGTGTCAAAACAGCGGTAACTTTATTTTGAGACACAGTTTAGGTATAAACTTTTCGAAGAGTTAACAGCTAACTGGTTGATTAAAAACCAATCTTATGTTTTTATTCATGAGTGAGCTGTTTCACGTTAAACCACACAGAATTCGTCATGTAGTCATCGATTTGTTCTGACATTAAAACTACCAAACAGTCGAATTGAATTTTTATAATTTCTCTTAATTCGTTAAAGTTAATAAAATAAAATGAAAGAATATTGTCTCCGGATATGAACTGTCGAGGAGTAAAATTTTACATTAGTAACTTTTTAAGGTATGTGTTAAAGCTTTGCGAGTTTAAAATTATTACTGTATTGAAAAGTCTTTATTATTTGGATGGAAGTGGTTAATATATAATTATAAAAATAATTTTATAAAACTATGAGTTTTGAACCATAATTGAATCACAATTACTGTGTTGATTATAGATGAATATTTATCATGATATAACTAAAGTCCGTTTAGTACTATTAAGAGTACCGATGATAGTGGTTAGATGAAATAATTCACTCCAGGAATCGAGTGTCACTTGATTGCAGCTATCTGACAGAAAACATATTACATGAAAGTTACATGAACGTGACACGAAAATCGAACGTTCTCCCTAGAATTTACGGTATTATGAACAGCCGATAAACAAGTAAAAGGAAGTTTCATCTGCAAGATATTCTGTAACCGGCAATGCATCCGAACAGTGATTACATTTGAAAGAAAAAATCGAAAGTGCTAAATGAAATTATTTCGTTAAAAACTTCGTTTTTGAGAAAATTTAGCTTGAATCGTAAACAAATTTTCTTACGTTTTTTATTCATTTCTGTAACTGGAATATTTATCTGTTGACGCCTCCACGTGCATTTGTGCACGTGTGTGTATATATCCACTAATAGAATAACAAAAATTGATATCTATTTGAAGAGATCAGAAACGATGATAAATTTTCGAACAATATTTATTTATCACACTATATTTTCCACGTATACCTAACACTGCACTCGAAACACGAGTTCATGGAATGGATGTTATTATAAAACTTATTATCGTTTCGAAGTTTATTTTTTGGTGACAGTAAAAAATATTGACTATTAAACAACTAAAGGAAATTTAAAATCTGAGATTTAGTTTCTGCAACCCCGAAGAGTTGTCAGAGTAATTTTCTTTGGATGTTAAATGTTTTGCGACGGTGTGAAAGATAGTAATCCGAAATTCGAGTATCAAAATATTGTTCCGTCATTCTTTACAGCCAAACTGATTGTTTACCGATGAAAGGCTTACAATCTTTATTATTATTCCGAAGTTTACGATGAACTCTTCTCGATAATGCCTCTTTACTACGAAGCCGCACGAACCACTTTAACTTCTGATATAGTTAGCCTTCAACACTCGGAAATAGAAAAGACATACAAAGATATTTATAAACTCTCAATATTTGCATCTATAAAATCTCCATCGCGGTGATATTTGGATGAAAACTGAGGTTTTGGAGACGTTCCGCGAAGAATCGATTGAAATAATAGCGCTATGATGTAAGAGTTACAAACGGAATATTAATAAAATATCTTCTATTGTAATTTAATAAATATAAAAGTATCGACGATCTAATTAAATCAATTTCTGACATAAATGTTTATATGCAATGATCGTTGTAATGTTTATAAAAAGTTCCATTTATAATGATGATTTCTTCACGATCGAGTCTGTGCAAGTGCCATTTATTTCTCTAATTCATATTTAATGTCTTTTCTTGTTTCTTTTACGGATAAGAAGTAAGTTGTGTTGCAACATGCTTTCTTTTTCTTTGCTTTATTAACGTTAAGTGCTTCCCTTTCTTGTTCAGATTCAGTCAGTGACACCTGAGTCGGATGTAACGGTTTGATGACGTCGATTTCCGGTTGACTTGCAACATATACTACGCCCGATGCAGCTAAACTTCATAATTATTTTCTGTTCGGGAAGCACTCACCGTTAGAACGTAAAATTTCGTTCCAAACTGAAGCACTTAAAAATAATCTCCCATAAAACTCATGCATGGTTTAAAATCAACAACACGTGTTCGAAATTTTATTTATCACCCAAGGTCAATAATATATTTTCGTATTTGCATAGTAAAATATGAAAAATAATTATACAATGTCCCCACTGACGTTCTTTTTACTTATACTTGTTAATTAAATAGTTCATAAATTTCCACCTCTGTGTATATTAAATATTACACATACACTAAATCAAAAGATAGTACATTGCAATGATACTACAGACGATGCTAAATAAATTTAATTAAATATAAAGGATTAATAAATATTAGATAACTTATCGTGTATATTACAATTCGTTGGCTTTTGTGCGTCATCTGCTAATTTGTATCTTATATAATCGAATGACATTTAACTCTTAATATCCAAATTTAAACAACCAAAATGTTAAAAATAAGAGCAATAATTTCAATTACTTAATTAATATTCCATGCAACTGGTGATACAGTTATATTATTATAGATAATGAAATATGTAATCGAAGTTGCAAACAGTACCTTGGGAAGCAAAACCGTTTACACAAATTTTTAATCACAGCCACGAGTCGGATTCAATCGATTCGCATATGCGAAGTCACGCACGCACGTACGCACGCACAACGATCGCTCTTTGAATTCCTGCGGACGTTTGCGCATTCCCTGATAACTGTTGAGAAGGATTTTATTTATTTACTGTACGTCGCCGCTGCTGAATGAAATTCCCGGGAATTTGCGAGTGAGATCCATTAAAGTTCATCGGGAACTTATCGCGAATATACGTCGTGCTGTTACCAAATTCTTTACCGCCATTTTATGGACCGATAGGAGTCATAAAGGAAATGGGAATTGTGATGTTTGATTTGTGATCGAAGTGAACCTTAAATTGTGACATAATCTGAATTCGGTTATTCAGTTTCGTCATTCTTGTTAATAAATTACAGTTAAAAGTTAATCCAGTGTCTACATTATATGAAAAATATTCCTGTTCAATTTAGAAAAGAGAAAACTTTGCAACGTTTCATAATGATTAATCTCTTAATTTTTACAACGGAACAGTGTTGCGTGGAAATTGTAACATTCAAAATAATAATAATAAGTATTTGATCTTAATAATTAATCTTCAATCGGAATACTCTACATATTTCTGTGAATCTCGATATTATCGGATAACGCAACAGGTGAACCAACGACTCAACAAAAAAGAAGAAGACAAAGCGACGAGGGTCTTCGTACAGCGCAGAAACACTGTCAACGACTGACAAAACAAGACACTGAAAAATGACCCTTCGTACGCTGTTATATCAACGAAAGAATGGAAAAAATATCCATCGGTTATTTATATTTATACGTTCCCGTGCAATTTGTATTCGTCCCCGCTAACAAATCGAGCCTGCTGCCTTGACGGCGTATTTACTCTAAACACAATTCAGATTTATTTTGCGTCATAAGGTTCGGGTCGTAATTCTATAAAACAGAGAAGAAAAAGCACCGCAATTTAATATACTATAATAAGATTACTGCTAAAAGCAATTTCCTATTGAATCAAGGACATCCTCTATTTCAGCGTAAAAAGACTCTCGATACTTATTATCTTGGTTAGTACAGGTTTTCTTCTTTCACGAAGAATTTCAGTTTTTTTATGGTGTCTGTGCGCAGGGTGAAGGGAGGATGAAGAATGCCCCGCGTCGGTGGAGACGGGGGTGGCGGGTCGGAGAAGGCAGGGGGGAGTGGATTCGGAGGATGGCTCGGGGGTGCAGCGAGAGCCATGACTGGGGCAACCGTTGGTGGCGGATACGTCGTTTTAGGGGGCACCAGATACGGTCTCCGACTTTCTCAGGTAAGAATTTTACCTCTTTTACACGAGCAGCTGTTCGTTATAGTAACAGAATCGAATTTTCTAAGCGAAAATATATTCCGATTATGTTTGAAAAATATTCTTTCGATGCTTGATCCATAGATATCTTTAATTTAATTAATACAGAATGAGCCGTCTGATGCAATTATTTTTAATTATTTCTAAACTGTTTGTTGCAACGAGTTTTTTGTTATTTAAATTTTGTACGGAGATGTAAGTGTTGCTTTGAGTTTTGGTATAAGTAACGTGTAACATTTAAGTTTGCAACATAAAAAAGTCTTGAATAGTGAGTACGAAGGTTCTTGAATAGGCAAATGGGTCTAAAGATTCATATCGTCTGAATATGAATTTAAACGTTTTCTATGGCACGTTTATTGATCAGTCAAGTAATAAGAGATAATTGAAACATACGTTTTCAAATCGTAGTTTTGAAGTGTATCTCATTCATCAGTTAAATATACATAGTCAAAACAGTATTTCTACTGTGATTAACAAACAATTTCTTCCAATCACCATCCTATTTGATCAAGTCGTATTACAAATACAAAGAGAAAGCTACTTGCTTTCCTGTTGATACCTTACACCAACAAAAATATCTTTTATTCTACATCTTTCGTCTCAAGCCAAAACGTTTCTCACGCCTAGCTTGCAAATAATGTTTATTTCACTCAAACAGTTTCTACATAAGAACAGTCTGCACGCGAATTAAGATGCACTAAACTATAGGAACATGTTATACGAGAATTGAATAGTTCTAGACGCGCTAACACCAGTCGTCAACACAAGCAAATCAGTCCATGTTGAAAACACGTCGTCCACCAGGCTGAGAATCCGAAGCCATGTTGGCTGTCGTGACGACCTTCGACGGATTCGCGACAGAGGAGTTTCGTATGAGCAAAATGAAGACGTTGAAAAACCTAAATATAGAGCCGATCGCGCAAATAGAATGCCGCCAGTCAGTGACTCGAGCCGATTTTGAGCCATCTCCCGTTTTCCTTCTTTCTTCCTCTTCCTATTTTTCTGGCTGGCCGTCCTCGCTCAACCGGAATAATATCCACGTTGACATCATACGCACACGTAGCGGGTACGTGAATCCCGCGCGGCGCACACGGGCGAGCCCGCGAACCTCTGCCAAGTCTTTCAATCGCGACAAATCACCGCGAATACGCCGGTTGATCGGGAGCTGATCATCCGGCGTTCGCGAGCCGATTATAGCCACTCCCGGAATGCCTTTCAATTTCAACCCTTTGCATTCCTCGCCCGTTTAACATTAGAGAAATTGTAGGTACTTAGGCGTTAAGTTGGTTCGAGCAACGAGTAAATTATAATCGAGACAATTGAATAGTAATTTGTCCTCGTCGAATTGATACGTTTAAACATGGAAAGATTGAAATGGGAAGAAAAGTTTAAATTCTGAGTGTTCGGAGTAATATTGGCAGAATTACAAAACACGAGGTGCGAATTGAATACCAACCAAAAGTGAAATCGAATGAGAAGACTGAATGGAGCAACTGTACTAATACTAAATACTTACTGAGATATAGTTTTTTCGAGTTTGTATTAATTATGATATGTTTCTCAGTGATTATGAACTTAGCTTGCGTGAACAACAGAACTTATAAACAAAAATATAACAGAAATGGAAGATTAGATCTAGATTGTAAGAACATTAATAAAAAAGAGATAACAATGACAATATTAATAACATTAGTGTATCATAAAAGTTGCAATCTTATATGTTCATTTCTAAGCACATTTTATATACATTTTCAATTTTTAAACAATTCAGTACATAAACTCCACGTAAACATACTTCTGTATAATTTAAGAAAAAAAAATGATAAGTAACTTAAAGAAGGGACGTGTATTCAATGGCACTTTATTACTTGTTACAAAAACGTTCCATTGAAACAAGTTAAACGCAGGTAGACTCTATTGTTAGTGTATCGAACGTTGCGGGCAGCCATAAAAAAACTATACACGTACATATAAATATGTATATTTAACAGTGCTATTACAATATCCCCATATAACTTCATAGGAGCTAAACCTAATGCCTAATTTGATTATGCTCGTCCTCTATAATCATATCATCTTTATTCAATACCTTTTTCTCTCGGAGCTCCTCGTGCACCACACTTGTTACATTGCTGTGCATTATAATATACACGTCCAGTACAGAAATTCATACGTATGATACCATAAGAACATCGTGGCTGTATCATAAAACATTCAAAGACACAATTTGTATGGAGATTGTTAGTTAAGCGCACCGCGCTATCGATGACCTCGGCAACGTTAGGTAGCCGATCCACCAAGTTTTTCGTGCTACGTAAATATAGATTTCCCGCAAAAATATTACCATACGAAGCACAGGCGTTTTGTTATCTTCCTATTTTATGCATTTCTGCGTAGTATCGTGTTTCGAGCCGCGGAGCGTAAAATGCGGTGTCGGGATGAAGATCGAAACAGACATTTCAGGACGTATCTCGTTATCTCCCGGGGGATTTCGAGAAAGGAGATTAGATGGTTCTACTTTCCAGCATATTCTCCGTACATCGTGTTGCATACACAACAGTCCGAGATCTATTTCAGAGGAGTTTATCTCCGGCTCGTTCGTGGGAAGGAACAGCGTCACCTTACCTCAACGCCATTGTCTCCTCTCAGATCCTCTTTACCGCAATCGTTCTCTGCACACGAACGGGTTTATTCGTTTGGAGAAAAAAATATGAATAATGATTTAGGGTGAGCCGCTGACATTTCGAAATCCCGGTCAGTTTTAATCGGAGAGAATTACTTTCCTTGTGTCACTGTGATTTAATATTCTAGCATTCGAGAGCAAGAATGAAGATATCATTGTATGTATATATCAAATGTTGGACTATTAAGATACCGATTAATCAGCTTTGTGTTTATTCCATTGGAGGGACTTCGACATAATAATATGACATAGAAAAATATTCACGTTGGGAATTATAGAAGTGGATTGTAATTATTTGGAGATAAAACTTTGAAATGTTTGTTGCAATTTGATCTAAACAATTGTGCGGATTGATGGTCTGATCGATTATGGTTAAAATTTGATAATCTTTTCTCACGGTTCTGTAAGGACGTACGGGGAATGTACAGTTCGAGGGTAACAATCTGAATTAGGAAATTTATTTCCCAACGTGACGAGGGCAAGGTGAAATTACCTTGTAGAGGCGAGTTCTACTTCCTACGTTTCGTTTTATGCGGTGCCGCAAAAAGCAGCCTTTGATTCTCTTTATACACGAAGCCACTTCATAGGCTTTACGGTCTCATTTGTTCCGCTCCTCTCGTACTGTATCGAACGAGGAAGTAAAAGTTTAAATTGATCTACACACATAAATTGTCCCCTTTTTCTTCGTTGCAACCCGTAAATTAGGAGTAAAGTACTTTGTACGTTCAAATGAGAACATCATCGCTAAATAAGTAGATCCTTCTTCGTATTACTTAAATCGTCTTCAGCGAAAGTATGCGCATTTTCTTCGTCGGGATCCAAAGAATATGAAACGAGCATTGAATTAAATAAGAGCATTTCAGCGGTACTTACAGACACGCTAATAATACGAGTTTCAAGAACAGTCCTCCTAAATCGGAATAAATTCTTTGATTAAGCCATTAAATCGGCTCTATTTTTATGTTTGAACAAAAAGACACGCACGGTTTTAGTATTACTTATCGAATGAATAAAATTGAGTATTTATTAGTAATCTGTTCCGTTATCTGCAGTTAAACGAAATTCTACACTTCATAATAATAACACGGTGCTGAATTCATGGACAAAATTCCGATCACGTGTGTACACATGTAAAGCTAATTTCTTGCTGATTAAAAGACTGTAACATGACAATTTTGAGATTCAGCAGTTATTAACCCATTAAGCCCATTTTCGAATTTTTCGTGTGTTACCAAGAGCCTCAGTCCATAAATCATGATTGCTGGCGTGAAACGTTACTCGCAGGTACTAGTCCGTTAATTAAAATTTTTATAATTTTCTTATTTGTATTCTGTTTATGTTTTGTCTTCCTGTAATTTAAGTATAACAAAGTGTTTGCATTTATTAAACTCGTTCGCTTAATGTAAGTATTGTTTACATAATTCACAAGTGATTCTTGAAAAATCAAACAAATACAATAATATTTTTGTGTAAGTAACGGTGTTGCTTTTCAGGAAGTAGGATTTAATCATTGTTTCTACTTGTTTATTATTAGCAACGTGTCTTGCATTAGCAGTAATATGGCCTTTCAGATTGTAAATTTCATTTCATTGCGTTTGGTAACACACTTAACCAATAATTAAGTTATTATTTTTAATAAAAATAATTTAGTATACCATTTTACTCGTTTAGATAAACACTAGAAAATATTTATAATTAAAAACATGTAGAACATAAGTTGCATACAGAATTTAAATTAAAAATATTCATAAAACGTACATAAAACCTAAATTCCAAATATAAGAAAGTACATCTTGCTAATTGCTGTTACAAAATATTTAAAATTATCATAACCTGTCAATCAGCTTTCTAGCAACGTGATATAAATCGAGATACCGGCTAATGTGTAGTACTACATACAAAAGATCTATGTATCTACTATATATAACGATCCGATTGCCAGTATAGATTACTTACCTCTACTAAAGCGCACTAAAAATCTCTACCAAACGTTTAACACAAACAAATAATGAATTGCAACCAGAAAAAATAAATAGAATTTCGTAGCTGCAACAAAAAAAGATAAAAAGAATTTTGCAACCGTAACCAGAGAAAAAATAAAAAATCCGACATCATATCGTTCCAGGAAAGCTTGCCGCCATCAAACTCGCGGGAGGAGTCGCAAGAGAGAAGACGGAAGAGGAACTCCCGGGAGAACGACTTGCGAGAGAGATTGACGGAGAAGTCCCTGGAGAATCCGGTGCTGGACCTGAGCTCGAGCATCGCCGATTGCTGTTGCATCGGTCCGCGTTCCCGTCTACCGTTGCCGAGGATCCCGCCGTCGTCGACGGGGACGTTGGCAGCGACGACGACGGTGTCGTACTCATCGCCGTCGGCGTGCGGTGCCGACGGAGGAGGAGGTGTAGGTGGAGCTGGAGGTGGCGGTGGAGGAGTAAGTGGTGGACAGGCTCCTTTTCCTGGGCCTCCCACGTCTTCGAACAGCCGTGCCGCCGGCATGGAACAGCCGGCGACGCTGACGACGCCAACGACGTCGGCGCAACCGTTGGTGAACTCTAATAATAACCAAGGGATGCTGCAAACGTCGGTGGGGAACAGTACTGGCCAGCACCATCCACCACAATCGTCCGCAACTCTAACGGCAGCGGTACCGTCGTCGTCCTCGTCGCCATCCTCCTCGACGTTGTTCAACACGTCGACCGCCGTCCCGACGCTGCAGTCCGTCTCGGTGCCGCGTCAGCTCGCGCAGTGGACCAAGCATCAGACCCTGAAGCTGCAGGTATAACACCATTCAACGTTCAAAGTGATGTCCGATCGAATTCGATCGTCGCTTCGATGGCTTTCGGGTTATTGTCGGGAATCGTTGAATCTTAGTTGTGGCTGTTCGGGCAGCTTCACCGATGATGCCGTGGAATCGCGTGATCGGATCCCGTGTGGAGGATATTTTTGGTGATCCGTCGATGGAGGAACATTTCAGAGGCCGTGGAAAAACTGTTGTGATTTCGTAAGAGTGAGTCGGTTCGTAGGAATTTGGGACGGTGTGTCTTCGACCTGGGACGCTTTGTGTCAAAACTTAAGAGGTGGGCTATATGCCGTGCTGGTAACGTAGCGCTTTTAATGGCTACGGACACGGACACGGTGAGACACGTTCTGAGAACATTCGGTGAGGCAAGACCAGTTCGCTTGTTTCCGTCAATACCTTTCCTACTTACATACTCGTTTCTTGAACGTCTTTCAAGCGTATCAGAATTCTGTCAACATTTGTTAACAAACTAAACGCAACAGTCTTGACATTTCTAAGTATAAATTTCTTCTCCGATACTTTCACCGAGGGTTTGAATTATCAATTCAACGCGTACACTTTAAAAAGCCGTTTATCTCTGTGACTCAGTTGCTGCTATATTTATGTCAAAGGAATTTCATCGAGGTCAAACCGTAACGAAAAAAATTGATCGTGAAAAATTGGCCTAGAGAATCGGAAACCCGTACATGCGATACGTAGGTGTCTAGTCGAACGGCGATATTCTATTTTGGTCGTCATCTGTCTTTTCCCTTGCGGCAGACACGAGGCAGCGCACGTTGCGCAGCTTGGTTGATTCAAAAATTGGTCTGGTCACAAGTGCATGGTCTTAAAAAGCGCTCCGTAATCGTGTGAATTTGATGAACCGAGAAGGATTAACGTGTAGGGCTTGTAGTCTAATGAAAAAGGTTTTAAGATGATGATTGCTTTTCGAGGTCACAGAAATTTTTCATTTCAAATTTTTTCATTTTGATTTAGGAACCAGCAGTGATAGCGGTGGACCGATTGCACAGGTTCCGATGGAGCGGGGGCGGAGGAGGAAGCGGCAAGAAGTCCTCTTCCGCCCCCCGGAGCGACAAGGCCGAGCGCCTTCGAGAGCTCACCGAAAAACTGAAAGGACCAGCACCGGTGCCGCCACCGAGAAGACCTTCCCGGGTTCAAGCATCCTCTCCACCGCCGAGTGGTTATTTGCCAACCCCGCAAAACTATCCGCAAGTAAGAACTGTACTTCTTAATCCTTTGCGCTATGATTTCTTTTACAACTGCGCTCTACAGGACTATTAACCCTTTGCACTTCAGGAGCGCTTCTCAGCTACTTGAATTGATACAGTGAAATTCTAAAGTTTGAAATATAATATTGAACTTTGTTTGATGCATCAATATGTGAAGTATTGAAATAGCTTCGTTCCTTAATTTATACGTGATTACTTATTAAGTTTTAAAAAGTCTTGTCTATGTTTTAGTAGGAAATGTTGAATGTTCTTAGTGAAAAACTTTTGAAGTGAGATGGGTTAAGTCGTTCCATAAGTAATTTTTTTTGCTAACTTTGATGTAAGAAATTAATATATACATCTTATTTTAATCGTTGATGTATTGAGTATCGTTGTGTATTGCCTTCTCCCATTTCCGATTAATTTTTTAATGCCGTTTCCGAAATGGCATTAAAATATGTTTTATAAGGTATGATGGGAAACTTATGGGATAACTTTCTTGGTATTTCATTGTTTATTACTCATTAGGAAAAGGAGACAGTTTTTCGTTCATTCTATGCTTGCATCTACTCTAAAGCATTATAAATGATAACAGAAAAGTAACATTTAATTTGGACTTGAAAGAATTAAGTGATATTTATATTTGTTAAATTCTATTTGAAATCTTTGCCACGAATCTGACACGATATTGCATGGGAAGAGGTTAATCGGAAGATAATCAAGCTGATACCATCTTCTCAAGTATTAGCATGTTTACTTTTACCGTGCAGTATTGATTTGCAATCATATCAATCCAAGTCTGATGGTTCAGTTTCATGGAGAGAACTAGGATAGTTTTATAATTAAATTATATTCGATCCGATACTGATTACTTGATTTGCATATGTGAAATGCTATATGGTTGAGATCCCATCATTATATATTTGTCACCTGCAATGTATTCGGTTAAAAGTTAGAGTTTATTTCGAACATTTAATATAAAAAATAAAAATGTTGAAGGTTCTGATTTTTTATATTCACCAATGTTATGGGGAAGTAGATATTTCCATAAAGATTTGTTTTGGACTTCTCTATTACATTCACACATGGCATGTAATGGAACGGAGTGATAGAAAATATTTAAAACAATTTCAGTTTACTTCATCTTATAAGCTGTTAGAGTTACTATAACTCACATGCAAACCTCTACTTCCAATTATATTTTTATATAATAACCCATTTCCTTTCAATATCACTAGTCTGCATGTATTTCAACCGAAATAAAGATAATTTTTTCCTAAATTATATATTACCTGTGATACTAATATAATTCATAACATACAATATAACAATTGCCTGAACAATACACAGAAGCTGAAGGTACATGCACTGATATTACGCTGAGCAATTATTGTACATCATAAAAACATATCGAATCACTTAACGATGCGTTTGACAATTATTCCTATCTTCGATAATTGCTTTTATGCAAAGGAGTGCTTCAGTCGGAAATTGAATATCTTTCCAGGCAATTGGACAAGGATGCGGCCGTTGCGACAGCCGTCCTACAAATCGGAGTTACACGTTCAGCGAGGGCAACAACCAGCATCCGCAACATCATCTGAAGACGATCGGCCGAAGTGACAGTGTCGGTGAAGAGTGTTTCAGTGAGCCGGGTAGGGATGCGTGCAGAAAGACTAATACCGATTCGAGGAGGTCCTTGCGATCGGGCAGGCAACACGACAGGAGCAGTGGTGACGTAAGTGACATAAAAAACGAGCTGAACGCCAGTGTGAACGCGGCAAAACATTTGAGACAGTACAGTGATTCGGTGGTGGATAGTGCTACGTGTATGGACGATTTGTGCGACAACCTGAACGCCGCGTCAGGTGGGAACGAGGGCGAGGCTAGGGACGCCATCACCAGGCTCGAGCCTAGAGGACCTCTTCTTACCTTCCACAGGGCTGGTGCACCCTTTAGAAGCGCCTCTTTTGGACAGGTGGACTTTAACCAAGGTAATTCATAATTTATTACTAAATAATTAAGGTGTTATTTGTTACGTGAAGAATTAATGCAATCTATTATCCTGTTAACACGGAGCACCGCGTCGGTTATTGATGAACGAAAATATGAAATGTAAGAAGTAGCACTTTGATAATATGAATTTTAATATAAACGTCTTGATATTTAAGGACTGACATAATAACGTTGTAAAAGAAGAAGTAAAGCTGATGTTCGTAGTTGAAAAAATTGTAACCTTGTGTCCTCTCGTATGGATCATTTTAGCGGTACTGCGTGGTTAATGAAACTGATTGACTTTTGCAAATTGCTGTTTAATCCATAATCTTAAAATTTACTTTTAATATGTTTGTAGTTGATAAAGGTTTTAAAAACGTTGTAATCTTTTTGTGAAAGTTATGTTCACCATCATTAAATATAGATACCTGCTATAGGTTTATTATTCCTAATAGTGAAACTATTAAAGAGATATTTTCCATTTCTAATAAAAAATAGTAACACTTCACCCACTGACATGTTTATAAATGTTAAAGCTATGAGAATTGTTTTTGCCCTATGAAACGTTTACAAATTTCTCGATAGATGAATACTAGTGCATGCCAAAAATGTGTAAGTTAAGAGTTAAGTTGAATCAGAAAGAATAAAATTTGCGTGAACTCTATAAATTAAAATTAATTTATGAGACCCGCCTAACCGATCACATCCACGCTTAGAATCGTCTAATGTTAGACGGAATCTTTCGTATACCGGTATTCCCCACGATCAATGTATCAAAATCAGCAAGGAATAAGGTCATTTAAATGCTATAATGAGACCTTCGAGACATTCACGACTCGGGTTCTCATAGTTAAGGTTATTGGATGCTGTATTGATGTATCTTAGAAACTTAGATGCAGCCAACTGCAATGCTGGCAACGAGACTATGTCATTTTTCACGCATACGCTACTCTTATATCCGGAAGTCAGTGCAGTTTTAAATGTTCTGTCGTATTAATAAAGTATTTCTCATATTTATCACAAGTATTTAGGAGACGTGTACAAAAAGTGTTACATTTTGAAAAGTGTTACATTTCCACTTGATTGAAAGCAGGAACATTGAGATTTTAGTGATTTCTCTGGAAAATTCATTGAAAATTATCATATTTCACGTTCGAATCACAAACAAAACGGCAGGAGTCGTTTTAAATGGACGTGGCGGTGGGAGCAGAAGCAATCCTAAGAACAGTTACTCCGGAGCATTCATTGTGCTTTGTTTCCGTGTTTATCTTTTCGGGTCTTCACCTGCTTGAAACTGGTTCTGCTAGTCTCTCCCCGTAGAAGGTTCTGCTTTACTTCTTCGGAAAATGTTATTGTTACCGAAGATTCGAAGAATTCCCATTCTTGTCTGCATTTCCTCTCTCGAAAAATCTTAGAACTACTCGACGGTAAAGAATTAACGTATTTTTTTCTTAATAACGTTGTTCCAACATAAAAGATCCATACCGATTTTTGATTTAGTGACTCTTGCTCTATTTAAGTGTGTAAAAGTAACTCCGTTAAAACGTTTGTCAATTAAAATGTAACATCAAGTAAATTACACATTACGTTTTAGCTATGCTTATAAACTGTATAAGGATACGACAATTCAAATACTAAAATGAATGATTATATTTTTAAGCAAAATAAATAGAAGAAGGTAATGGTCTAAAAATGATTTTAATTTTAGAAATAAGTTTCAAAAGCAGTAGAAAGTAATATATTTACATTTATATTTATTGAGACTATTAACAGTCTCCTTTCTTGGAAGACCATTCGTAAAGCAAACAAGAAATTTTCACAGTAATGGTCTAATCAGTGCTTTTTAATTTTATTCTCTAACCAATTATCTCCTCTTATCTGTTTGATTAGTGTATTACAGAAGTATAATAAGCTTCAATATAAAGACTACCCTACCCAAATTTTCCAAAAATAATACCACTTACCACATTCCTCATTTTTCATTTGAAGAAGAAAGAAATTCCATTCCAAACTCTCTTGGTTAAACAAAAATGTCAACTATCCATTAAAATCCCTCCCAAAGAGACACAATAACAGAATTCGAATCCTCTTATTTCCTTTCACAAATGAACACGCAGAAAGAAGGGAAATCGAAGCAGGATGATCATCTTTATATAATCGTCGCATCACCTCCGAAACCGCGTTATCCCCGCAGTTCGAGGAGCGATAAATAATCCGTGTGCCGTGAAACGCGGAAATTTGGATGGGAAAACATTGTCAATTAATTATACGGTTGTATACAGCCAGTGTACTTGTAAATATTGGCCAGCGTTGGGCTCCCACGAGAATGCAGACTTCGGCGGCATGGCGGTCCGCCAAATAAACACTACCCATTATGTCTATTATTACATTCATGTAGGTGTCGGTTTGTATAACTAAGATAGGGACAAATCTAAATTCGTGAGACCGGTATCCTCGCGGGAGGCGTTTTGTTATTCGGCAACGATTCTTCTTTTACCATCAGTTTCCCTTCCCGCTGTTCCCCCTCGTATTTTTATTTCCCATTCTCTCCGGCAAGGCTGCTCTCTATGTTACTCGCGGCGTTTAAAGAGGCATCCTCGTCCTAAATTCGTTGACACGATCAGGGCGTATATTATTCGTGAATTCCAGTTCAATAATTTTCGGTGGGTACCGAACCCGCCGCCGCGACGCGGATTCTCCGGGCGCGAAACTTTCGCGTCGATCAACGCTAAGCCCGTTGTCACACTTTATCTTCGCCCGTGGAGACACCGCCGCGAAATACGCTCAAGTCCCCGATACGATTACACGCGCACCGGGACCGTTTTACCCGCGTCGCCGGAAAAAGTCGCCGGGTTTACCGGACGACAAAAATAACGATCGTCCCCGAGCGATTTTCTCGTTCCGCGTTTTCGGCGGCGTAACATTGACTTTCGTCTAGGCAAGATAGTTATAACCCTGAACTACATACGCCGGCAGATTCGGTTTCATAATAAAGGACCCGAAGTGCTGGGGACATTAGAGACCGTTGTCTGAAGCGTTAACGGCGATGCGTTTGCGTCCCTGACCTGAATCAACGCATTCCGCTCTTAGATAATTATTAAGTAAATCCTGTCGTAGTTGATTCGTATTATGTAGTCGGTGAGGGATAGGACATCGGTTACTTCTTCTTTTGGTGGTTTGTGGAAGAAATTCGGCACGGAGGCTTGTTGAAGCTTTTTAATAGTTAATTGAGGAATTTAGGTTGATTGATGTGTTAGCGTTTAGTATTTAATTTTTAGGTTTTGGAAGTTGTTCTGATCATTAATAGTGTGATGGAAGATTCTAGGTATGGAGAGTTAACGTGGTTATTATGAAAATCTTAATTTATAATTACTGTCTGAAGTATACGTATGGCTAACATAAACTAAGTTATATGGCGGGGAGGCTTAAACTGCACTGAATATGTTAACAAATAACTAATAGTTGAAACTAGTGAAATTAATGGTATTATTTTAATAAATGTTCATTTAAATATTACAGTAAAAATGATCATAGAAACTATATTTTTCTTTTAAATATTCAGTAATGCTTAGTATTGAGTGTTGAAATAATATAATATAACAGCCATACAATTTCTGGTAATCGTTCAAATAAGTTCCATAAGATCCCAGCGCACATCGTAGAAATAAGACAATAAAATTACAGTCATAAAGGTAATTAATCGAATCACAATTAAATTTACACCACAATTATCGTATTCACTGTGAAATATGAATTCTTTGCCGTATTATACCGTCTTTTATTCTTCATATTGAATCATTATACTATTCCAAATATAAGACGTGTTAGCCGAGTCATCCATCAAGCGTTATTTTTATTTCAAACTCACGAAAAGTAGGAGCTCAAATTCGAGAAAAGAGAGAAAGGAAAAATGAAGAAAGCGGAGAGGAAAAAAAGGTCGCTGATTTATCAATGTGTAACAAGGCCGAAGGCGTGAAACGCGACGAATCGCGTGCGCAGCGCAAGCCGGAAACGCTTCGCGCTAACGCGCCAACAAATCTCTCGCGGGACACCTTTTATGCTCGGAAGACGGTTTACGAGGACGTGTAACTAGGTATCTTCTGAAATACGGCTGCTACGATCTTCGACTATTAACCGCGGTAGAACGCAACGCGATCGCAGGGGAAAAAGAAATCGCGCGAAAGCAGAGGAGATAATAGATTTCCTTTATCCGACCATGTTGGATATAAATGCTCGCGCTGACAGTGATCAGTTTAATGGAAACGAGCCGCAGAAAATTGATTATGATTGTGAACGGTCACGCGGAAGAACCAGCCGACCCTGTTGAAAAATCTGTACTGCAGGTGATGCAAAACATGCGACTGAAGAAATGTTTTGCTCGTTGCGCCGAGCAATTTTATTAACGGAATGATTGAAGGCAAACATTTGATTTGTGTAAGGTTACACTCGTGTGAATTATACAATTCTTGCTGTTCAGCAGTTTTTTTTGTTCTTTCACACAGCATGCATATAATTTATGACATATTTCTGTATTTTGTTAGGTGAAGCGCATAATGTACTTTAAAGATTGAACTTAATTCGAAGAAGGATTGAATCTTATTCCTCTTTTAGTTTAATTAATTCGCATCTACATTTAGTGCATACATTTTACAAATATTATCAAAACATAATTTATGGAATATTAAAAATTCCATGCAATACTACTTTTCTGATTCTCAGTGATCAGACAATATTTTCTAATTATAGTTGTAATGTATAACATAAACTAACCGTAAGAAAATATTTCGTGTATTATTCTAATAAAACTTCAATCTAGAAGAAATTATCCAGAAAACAGAATTTGGAACTCGCCAATGACTATAAGTTTGTGTTTCAAATATACTTCTTCCAAGGAACATGTTAATAAAATCATCAAACATGAACTTGGCGTGAAAATATTTTTCACTTTACCATTTCAATACCACTATATTTCGTTAATAAGAAAAAGTCTTTTTTCATAAGTATTTCATCCAAGATGGAAGTCATTATTTATATTATCAACTGAGTAATCATTTCATTCTATTTAATCAAGGAACCAATAACATTTCTCCATCCCAAAGTAGAGTGTTAT